AATTCTTAAAGCCGTGTAAGTCTGTACATTGTTGAACACTCTTTTTCAAAGAGGATTTATTGGCTACCGAAATCGCTAAGGCTATGTCTGTCACGGCACTGAGCACCAGGGCCAGTTGGGCCACTGTGGACGTTCCAAACTTCCTGCTGGTTGGCATTGGCTAGACACTAACCAGGTGAAGGGCTGAGTTTTTCATCTTCATGGACTCCTACAATTGGAGAGCCAGAAGGAACTTGAGGGCGCCTACTTCTTTGTGTCCCAGAGGAGAGAATTTTGAACCTGAACGGTCGGGAGACTTTTCTAAAGCCATGTAGTTGGCTAGTGCCTCCAGTGTGTGAACCCAGTCGACAACCTCTCCACAGGGTCCTGTCTGCTGAGCCTTCCCGGAGTTGGCCTTCGGTTCCATGAAAGGCATTACCAGTTGGCTTGTCTCACGTTTGGGTTGGCTGTCTTTCTACATGCAAACACCATCTCCAGCAGCAATCCTATTAACTGCTCTTTGCTGAAGGCTGATATCCTTGGGCTAGAGTTTAAAAACAAAAGTGGTCTGAGAGTTTTGCTCAGGGGAGCTGGGAGCAGAGCTAACAATTCACGTCTCCTTGCCGAGGACACGGCAGCTGCTGAATTCCGTCAAGTTCAGACCCTGAAAAAGAGCGGAAAAAAGAAAGCACATACTTTCCAGTGCCTGGGCACCGTGTAGCTGGGCCAGCTGGGCACAGCATCATAGCAGAGAGATCTCTTCAGTTTCAGAAATACGAGACCTGGCCTTGCAAAGAGGGAGGGGAATGTGGATGCAACTGGACCCGATTGGGCAGTGCGTTTCTGGGCTCACTCCTGTCCACGGTGATCAGACAGTTCCCGTGTAAAGTCAGGAGGATCTAAAGAAAGAACCAGCTCTCTGAGTGGACAGAAGGATCACGCTGTCTAAAGAAAGACGTGTGTGTGTCTTCAAGCATTGCAGCGGAGGCTGACAAGCTTCTTAAGAGGAACTCTTGGTTTCCTCATGAACGTGTGCTTCCTTTTGTCCGGAGTTAGCCTGTTAAGGAAGAAAATGCAATTCAGGTTTCTGAGTTGGAAGCCTGATTAATCTGTCTGCCAGTTGCATATGGAAATAAATTAGTAAATGGATCATCTGGGACTAAACTATTGCACAGATGATAAATTATTGTCATCGTAGGTGCCGGCGATGCTGAAGATGGAGCTCTGCTCCCCAGGAGATGCTCACTGGCCACTGGCCACTCTGTCGTGGTCAGAAGAATGCAATTTTAAAAACTTACAAGGATGGGATTTACCCTGAAATGTGTCTCAGGAGAACGGTTTGGTGGATGCCAAGCTTGTTCCTCAGAACTGCTGTGTCTGCAAATGTTTAAAAGGGGCATCTCAAGAGCATCCCAAACATTTGACTTTTATATTTTCAAAGGCCAAGACAATAACCAGTGTTAATTAGTACCCAAATGTCCCAGTGAAGAGGATAATTCTATACTTCTGTATAGTTTGGCACTTTATAATTTTCATAGCAACTTCATGTCTTTTTATTTAAATATTTTAAAATAATTAATGCGGTCTATTTATTTACTTATTTTAATTTGACCAGAGAGGGACATAATGAGAGAGAGTGAGAGAGAGGGAAAGCAAGAAAGTTAGCCGCCTAGTCTGGGACTTGAACCGTGGTTGGCCATGTGGGAGTCCAGCACCCTTAACCACCACGCCACCTGCCAGTCTCTTTTATTTAAATTTTAAAGAAGCTGGGTAGGTCAGTGTCTCTTTTTCAAAAGAGTTATTTATTTTGGGGGGCCAGCAGATGGCGTAGCGGTTATGTCACTGGACTGCCACATGGCTAACCACAATTGGAGTCCTGGACCCAGTGGCTTCAAAGTCCTCCCAGGTGCATCTGTATGTGTGCCCAAGATTCTGGAAAGAGAACGAGAAGGGATTGCAGTGTAGCCTCCCCCCCCCGGGGGGGGGGTGATTACTCACTTTCCCTCTCACTGTCTCTGTCTCTCTCTAGTGAGTGTATGTGCCCTACGGCAGAAACCTCTCAAAAATTATTTATTTCATTTTTGTTTATCATTATTATTTTTTAATTTGATGAGAGAGAGAGAAAGTGAGAAAGTAAGCTGCCAGATCCAGGACTCAAACTGAGGTCGGCCATGGGGGAGTCTAGTGCCTTAACCATCATGCCACCTGCTGCCCCCCAGTGTATCTTCTTGATAGATAAAAACCTGAGGTTTGGGACCAACAGTTAGCATAACGGCTATGTCGCTGGACTCCCACGTAGTCTACCCGGTTCGCGTCCCGGACCCGGTGGCTTAAAACTCACGCCGGGCGCGTGTGTGTGTGTGTGCGCGCGTGCCCAAGATCCTGAGAGGAGAATGGAGAAGGGATTGCAGCGTGGCCTTCCCCCCGAGGGTGATTTCTCGCTTTCTGTCTCTCTGTCTCTCTCTGTCTGGTGAGCGCAAGCGCCCTATAGCCAAAACCTCTTAAAAAACAAACAAACAAACAAAAAACCCCTGAGGTTTAGGGAGCTTACGCTTTACCCACAACGACTCAGATGGTTAAATGGTGAGCTGAGGTGAGCAAGCAGAAATCCCTAGTTCAGAAACCCGCTTTATTTCAGCAGAGCCTCTGTTTGTCTGTCATCCACCAAACAGCATCAGGAAATAAAGCATCCCATGTATGTCAGTTTTCTAGAAGCAAAAGGCATACCTTCTTGATCATAAAAAGTATTTTTTTTCTCTAGTTGGAAATGCTGAGTGTTCATTTAACGTGTGTGGATGACTAAGGCACACCACGATCCCACTTGAGTTCTTTTCTAAAACTGCAACGAGATGTCCTCAGGGGCTTTTTAAGTGTGGTGGTAACAGTTGGCCCCTTTGCAGAATCGCCCTAGGGCGATTGCAACATTCAGATTCTTGTGCTTTTTGTGTTCTTTCTTCTGGGCACACTTCAGCTGGTAATCCTTGAAGCATGTGAGGTTTCCATTCTGGAAAACGCAGTACAAAAAACGACAGAAAAGTTGACGGGATGCAGAAGTCGCCTGGTTCATCAGACGCCAACTTCCAAACATCAGTAGTGGGTGCTGGCTGGCGGTCTTTACACGAGAAAGAGAAGCCGCAGCCTTCTGGCATGTACCTGTCTGTGTTTGGAAGTAACCTTGTCTCACCCAGATCTCCTCCAAGTCTCTCGTGTATCAGCCAGACCTGGTTACTCTGGCCTGAAGAGCCCTTGTGCTTTTTCACCTCTGGGCTTTTGTTTTGGCTGTTGCCTGTTCCTGCCTGTCAAAGTCCTGTCCCAAGCTCGAGGCTCCAAGTTACTGTCATTGTCCTTATGATGCCATCCCGTACTGGCAGCCCCCCACCTGAACCAGAAACAGATTTCACCGCCGAGATCCCATGATCTTTAAAGAAAGGATACCTTCTGCGTGTGTTTGAGTTGCTTGTATTCGAGTCCTATCTCTTCTCCAGGGCAGGGACTTCCGCACCTTCCCCCTCTGACTCCCCTCCACACTCTGGCTCAGTGCTTTGTCCTGAATTGAAGGTGAAGTTGAGTAGAACAGTTTTGTCTCATGACAACAGCATAAATGCCTTCGTATGGCTGGATAAATTCATGATCTAAGGTGTGTTGGTATCACTTGGAGGACTTGTTAAAACACAGATTTTTGAGCCCCACTTTTGGATATTCTGATTCAGTACATCTTGGGACAGGGCTAAGAATTTGCATTTCCATCAAATTCTCAGGTCATGTTGATGCTGCTTTCTGGGGACCACAGTTTGAGAACCACTGATCTAATGAATATATTTCTTCTTTTATTTTTGTTAGGCGTTTTTCCTAGGGCATGTGTGCTTTCTAGAGAAAGACAGAGAGAGGGAAAGTGAGAAATCACCCCTTATGCAGGGAAGGCCATACCACAGTCCCTTTTCCTCCATTCTCCTCTGAAGATTTTGGGCATGCACACACATGCACCTGGTGTGATGTTTCAAGCCATCAGGTCTGGGACTCAAACCACAGTCAGCCTTGTGGACTCCAGCGCTTAACCACCATGCCATGTGTTGGTCCCATGAATTAATATCCTCATACTGAGGCTCATAGGATAATACTATTGTTTTCATGAAAGAGTTTATTGATTTGTCATCCTAATTCCTTGTTAAAAGTATGTAATAATTACAAGCCAGATGGTGGTGCCATGGTAATGCAACAGGATGCATGTGGGAAAGGCCCGTGTTAGTGTCCTGGGGCCTCCCTGTGTGCACGGGTGCCCTTGTGCCTATGATCCAGCCTGACTGAGACTGGGAATGCAGTGCAGAGTGAAGACCCTATTGGGTCTGCCTTTTTCTCTCCCTCTCTCTCTCTCTCTCTCTCTGTGTCTCACTCATGGATGAAGTAAATAAGTAAACTGAAAAAAATTACCTCCCATCAGGAATTATTTTGCAATCTATTTCATGTACCAACTTTCATATGTTGCAAGATTATTGGTTGACTGGGGCCCCCAAACTAGCCACTCATTGAGTGAGTTCATCCCCAGGGCCAGAGTCAGAGTCATTTCATTTTACAACGATAGAACAGAACATCATTGACTTTGCAGCCTGTTGCTGGGTCCACCCCATAGATCAAGGCTGGTCGGTGGGGTGGGATGGGGCTCTCTCATGCTTTCCCTTTACATAGACGAGTGTTTCTGTAGCCGCCATAGTAAGATGGAATGATCTCACAAATGTCCCAATGGCAGTTGCAATAAAATAAAACAATCTCACAATGTCTGTGGCATGTATTTTTCAATTTCTGGGTCCTCTTACACCCCACGAGTTAGTTTCAAAAGCACTCCATCGTGAAAAACTCGATCCTTCAACAACCATCCAGGAAATAAAGAGGTATTGCTGCAATTGCCTTTTGACTGAAGTGTGTCATTTTCTAGAGTTAGGCCAGAGAGGACACCCATTGTGGTGGTGAGGGCTCTCTTTGCTTCTCTTCTCTAACCCTGTCTTCCTTCTGTTCCTCTCCACCAGACTCTAGAAGCATCGTCTCCTAGAAGACCGGTGTTCTTCTGATTATGGAGGCCCCTTTGTCCTTTCTGTGACGGGAGAGATGCTGACCTCGGTTTCCTGGACCCATTCCAACTCAGGTAATCACGCTCGGTGCAGCTCCTGCACCTGATAGAGACTGCATTGAATAAATGGAACACCAAAGCTATATTTAAATGCAAATGCCAAATTGATTGTTTCTCCACCAATTGGTATCAGCTCCCTTTCCCCCCAATCTTCTTAATGATCAATTTGTGCAACTGATCAGACTGACAATGTGGTCAATCCAATTTAGGCATTATCATGATGAAAAACATTGAATCCCATCTTTATTTAAAATTCTGGTGCACGTTGTAGACACACAAAGCAACCAGAACATTGCTGGGCATTTTCACATAGAAACCAGCTTCTACCGCAGCCCCTCTAAATCACCTTGTTTCCCAGAATACTGTTTTATTTTAATTGTATTACTCGTTCTAAGGTTGTACCTTTTCGTTGAGTACAGTAGGAATTGAGTATCCATTAGGTGCTCGTGGGGCAGGCAAGGATTAAAAACTTTGAGGTTGGCTCCTGTTCTCGGGGAACTCCCAGTTTAGAGAGAGATCCAAGATTGGCTTAGAAGAACATGGCGGATGGTGGTGCCCTGGTTGGGCCAGGGCTGTGCTCTAAGGATAGCTCTCTGATTCAGAGAATTGAGAGACCTTAGGGGGACTGGGCTCGACATATTAGGTAAGAGTTCATGAACCAGGGAAGGCCTCTATTGGGTTTTGTCACTGGATGATTTGGCCAGGCCAAGGAAAGAGGGATGCCATGGCAGCTCAGTGGGAATATGGGGATGAGCCTACTGTGAGCTCAGGGAGTGAAGGCCTGGCTGCCTGGATCAGTGACTTTAGAGAACCTTGATCCTTTGTCCCAGCCAGAGCCAGATGCCAGTCAGGGTCTAGGTCTCTTGAGGACCCTGGAGTAAAACCACCTGAGGAAACCCACTTGCCCTGTTGTAGAGGGGCCTTAGCTGGCAGTGTCCTTCTGGAGATGGGGTTGCTGTAGCTCCCACTCTGGCTTGGCTCTTTACTGCTTGTCCTTTCTGCTTCCCTGGGCCTGTCCACGCCCTGCCTCTGCCTGTCTGCCTGATTGTTTACTCTTCCCGTATGCATCTGCCCGCCTCCCTGCAAACTCTGCTGTGCCTATGCGGTAGTCGAGGCCCCAGGATGAACCAGAGGCTGCATTAGGTCAGTTCCTGGTGACCCACAGGTGTGGTTCTGAGCTGAGACTGGTGCTGAAGGGGAAGAAACATAAGCCAAGAATGTGAGTTTGGAAGTTGATGCTGAGAGCCCATCAGGAAGCCAGACTTCAGGGAGGGCCTCTAGGCTAACGCTGGGGCTGTGGTCTGGGCTGAGGAGCCAAGTGCCCTGACTAATTTGGGGATGGCACAGCAGATCCTGCCCACACCCAGCTCTTTCCCAGCGATGCCTGGCATCAGGCCGGGTAGAGCAGTGGCGGCTTTCTCTGCCCTGGTTCTCAAAGGTGTTGCTGAGAATTGCCAGTGGAGCTCTGGCTCTTGCTGTCAGGCCTGGCTCTGGCCACACTCCACCTGCCTTGGCAAGCTTGAGTGCTCAGGAGCTGAGGCCCTCCCTGAGAATCTTGGCCTTCTGGAATCATCATAGCCCTGGATCACCAACCTCCAGGAAGTGGAAGAACCAGAATAACAGTATTTGTGTTCTCTTCCTACTAAAGCGATTGCCTGACAGATCATGACCTCGCTGCTTCTAAGGCTAGGCCTGGGTCAGCAAACTGCATAAGGCCACGGGCCAAGTACAGCCTGCTGCCTATTTGTGCAAAAGCAAGCCAAGAGTTTTCCTTTGCTGCAGGGGGAGACCAGCAGTTGGTGTAATGGCTGTGTTGCTGGACTCCCATGTAGTCGACCACGGTTCGAGTCCTGGACCTGGTGGCTTAAACTCACACTGGATGAGTGTGCGTGCATGCCCAGGATCCTGAGCGGAGACTGGAGGAGGAGGGATTGTGGCATGGCCATCCCCCCCCCCGGGGGAGGGTGATTTCTAGATTTCTGTCTCTCTGTCTCTCTCTGCCTTTCTGGTGAGTGCACACACCCTATAGCAAAAACCTCTCAAAAAAATTTGCTATAGGGTGTGTGTGTCTTGCCAGAGAGAGAGAGAAAGAGAGAGAGAGAGAGAGAAAGCACCCACTAGAACCCACTGGATGAGGATGGCCATACCACAGTCCCTTCTCTATTTCTCCTCTCAGAAGTTTGAGTACATACTCACATGTGCCCAGTGTGTTTTTCAAACTGCTGGGTCTGGGACTTGAACTATGCAACCTGCCATGTGGAATCCACTGCCCCAATCACCACCATTAGCTAGTGGACCAAGAATGTTTTTACATTATTAATTGATTGGAAAAAAATTAAAAGAAGAATAAGATTTTTGTGTTTCATGAAGAGTACATAGAACTCAAATTTCAATGATTCTAAATAAAGTTTTATTGGAACATAGCCATGTTCACTTATTTCTGGATTATCTACGGCAGCTTTTTTTGTACTGTAACAGCAGAGTTAAATTGGTGCAACAGAAACTGTTAAATATTTACTATCTGGCTTTTTTCAGAAAAGATTTGCCAACCTTTGGCCTAGGCGATTGTATGACACAAGTGTTTGCCAAATTTGAAGAGTGGAACTTTTCTTCTGCTATGAAAGTAAGATTAAAGAATGAGTAGGATTAAAATAGGGAAGAGAGAAGAAGGGAGGGATTTTTTTAGATCAAGATAGCAGGTTGACCACACTATAGGTGGCTTTTTCAATTCATCTCTTTAATTTTCAATTAAATCTAGATATAACATTGAGGTCATTTCATTTCAGGAACTGAGATATAAGGAGTTTAAAAAAAAATTCCTGGAAGATACATATTATTGAAAACTACATATGGGACCAGAAGTTAACGTAATGGCTGTGTCGCTGGACTCCCATGTAGTCTACCGCGGTTTGAGTCCCGAACCCGGTGGCTTAAACTCACGCCGGGCACGTGTGCATGAGTTCTCAAGATCCCGAGAGGAGGATGGAGAAGGGATTGTGGTGTGGCCATCCACCCGGGGGAGATTTTTCCCTTTCTGTCTCTCTGTCTCTCTCTGTCTTTCTGGTGAGCGCCACGCACCCTATAGCCCCCCCCAAAAAAAAAGACAGAAAAAGAAAAAAGAAAATTACACATGAATTTTGAGAAAAGTTTTTGCACCAAAATAGTCTTACTTAACTCCATTTTTTCACAGACATTCAAAGTCCCTTCATATTAGAGTTGTATTGAAAAACGAGGCAACTCTTGAATAACCTGAATGCTAGAATGAATCAGCAGTGAATTAAGGCAAACCTTGCATTTTGGATCCCCCCACCCCCCGTTGGCTCTGGGTGTGTTATTTTATTTTAAACCAAATAAATATTTTGTTTTAAATCAAGCAAACATTGAAGGCTTTCTGTGAGTCAGCCAAGCCATTTAATCTTGGCAGTGTTTTTTTTCCCCAGTCTGGTAGGATTTTATGATGCTGTTGGGCGAACACTATGGTAGAAGTTAGAGATGTGGGTTCTAGTCTTACTAGCTGGCTGAGCCAGGGCAGGCTGTGGTTTACTAGGGTAGAAAGTACACCCAGTTGGGGCCAGCAGGTGGCATAGTGGTTAAGCACTGGATTTCCATATGGGCAACTGTGGTTCAAGTCTTGAATGTGGAGACTTGAAATTCTCACTGGGAGTGTTTGCATGTGTACCCAAAATCCCGAGGGAAGAATGGAGGAGAAGGGATAGCACCATGGCCCCCACTCCCTACCCCCTCATGTCTCTTGCCGGTGGATGCATGTGCTCTATAGCAAAAACCTTAAAAAGGAAAAAAGAAAAAGAAAAAGAAAACAACAAAGACATCTAGCTTCCTTGGGCTGGGTGTGGTGCAGTGATAAAATATGCTGCTGTGCAAGGCTGACCCACACGGGAGGGTTTCGGGTTCCCGTCCAGAGGCCTTGCTGAATAGGCTGTGCATGTGAGTACCCATGATTCGGTGCTGCTGGGGCTGGGGGTGGATTATAGTGTCCAGATCTTATTGGGGTGCCTCTTTCTCTCTTTCAGTCTCTTCATGGAAGAAAAAGACAAAATTTAAAAATAAATCTAGGGACCAGCAGTTAGCGTAATGGTTATGTCGCTGAACTCCCACATAGCAGACTGCAGTTCGAGTCCTGGACCCGGCTTAAACTCACACTGAGCGTGTATGTGTGCGTGCCCAAGATTCTGAGAGGAGAACGGAGAAGAAGGGATTGTGGCATGGCCATCCCCCCTGGGGGGCGATTTCTTGCTTTCTGTCTCTCTGTCTCTCTCTGTCTTTCTGGCAAGCGCATGTGTCCTATAGCAAAAACCTCTCCCCCACAAAATAAATAAATAAATAAATAAAAATAAATAAATCTAGAGCTCGTAGCCTAGTGATTAAGGAAGCCAAATCTCACATGGCCAACCACATGGTTTGAGTCCTAGCCTGGCTT